GTTGTTATTATTTGTTATTTTGCAATGCAACATTTTGTGGTTACCCGTCGAAATGGTCACAGTTGATACGGTAGAATGTAAGAAACGTGCTGGCTGACTTACTGCCAAAATCCAGGCACTCCTAGATGTTTTACCGGCGCAGGGCTGAAACAAGGAGTCACAGAGAATCTTGGATTTCTGGACCATTACAGTATTGAAGTGAGTCTTTTCGCGAACAAAAGGAATTGCAGCTCTCGCAAAACCAGCGATAGTATGACAAGTTGACATATTGTTGAAATTTTCATTAAAATAATTATGAGGTGAAGATGATTAAATCGAAGAGGGGCGATGTATTTAAAAGGCGGACTTCTTGTAACGTGCGTAAACGGTTTGTCCCACGTGGATGTATCCCTGAAAAGATCAATATGAAGCAAAATTTTGTAGAACAAGAGAAATAAGAACTGACGAACCGGTTTGTCGACAGCAGCGTTCACCCCGAAGATAGGCATGTCCTTGAACTGTTGTCGCATAGGGCCCTCCGGTGCTAGACGAAACCTGAAGATTTAGCTTTAAATAACTGCATCAAGCAACAGTAACAGAAAGCTCACTGTCGTAATTTCTTCAATGGCTGCATATCGCTGTCCTTAGTGCCAGTGAGCGGATCGACAGTGGTCAAAACACACCTGAAAGGTGGAGATACTTCAAGGCCGGCGCAGTTCGACGACGGGGGGGGGGCATTTTGTACTATCATTGCTTCCCTAGTTCCGGTTTACAAGTCTCACTCTGGCGAAACCTGTGAACTCTTGTGAAGCTGGAGCAAGCTCATCTAGCCATCATGGTAAAACCTGTCAACTCGAGAAGAGGCTGCCTAGATGGGTCGACACGTCGATGGGAAGTAGCGAAAGTGCAAAATCAGTGAAAAATGCGGGAGACGGCCAAGAGGATCGTAATTTGCCGCTCCGCCGCGCGCGATGAGCGCGGCGTTTTCTTAACTCTTGTTAACCTGTCGATTGGAGCCCTGGACTTCATGTAGACCCCTTCATCGTAGACATTCATGGCTATTTTCAGTTCTGCATTGCCTGTTGTCGCCATCTACTACCTGGAACATCGTTATTTGCGGGCGCGACGTCGCACGCGACGCCTACCAGCGCGGCGAATAACGATCCTCTTGTCATATACCCGAAAAATGCCCCCCGTCGTCAAACTGTACCTTCAAGGCCTATAATTATAATATCATTGGGATTACCTCGTGCATGGCTTGAAGCACTGCAGTCGAGTGTCTCCTATCTGAAGGTCGATCCACTTATCCTCATCCCATGCAGGGCACCGATCTACTACAATCACTGGACGAAAGTTTTTGCTCGAAACCTAGAAACATTTCCATTGAGCCCTTCGCATTCCCATTAAAACCATAAGCGTCAATACATTCGGCCAACTCAAGCTCCGAATTGCAAAACATAGAATTTCTGGTGTCGATAAGTCAGTTTGTAGCAGTAGCCTCGCAAGTTCGTTTTTCCATTTCTAGAGACGAAGCAACTGTCTGGGGCACTTTCCCGTTCGACGGTCTTCTCGCTCTTACGGTTTACATCTAGTCATCCCACAGAGCTGCTTTAGTAAAGGTCAAGGAAAAATACTCCCAGAGTTGGTCGATCGCCTTCTGGGATGTGCCACGTATTTTAGTTGCATTCAGAGACTTAGTGACAGTTTGAATGCGATTTGATCTCCACAATGACTTGCGATTGTTAGCCGTTAAAGGCAGTTGGCACGATGGTTTCCTACTTAGCCTAAAATGCTAGTAGGGCGCTGTATAGTGGGGAAATGGCGAAAGAACGGAGTGAAACGGTCAAAATCCTGCGAAGAAAGCCTCCGTTCTCAGTGACTTGTAAATCGATTTCGGACGAGTTTCCCGTAGGCATCTTACCAATCACCGCTACCGAAGATACGGCTGCATATGTGTACCCATGTATGCATGCAGCATCACGGCCGCTTCATACCAATCCCTTCGCTTCATAATTTGCTTAGCAAATGAATGAATACGAGCGTCAGGAACGGTCGTCCATTTGTGGGCGGGCGGGCGTGGCGGGCGTTTGGGACGTAAAGTTGTGGCTTGATAGGGCCCTTATAAGGGCACCTTCCTCGGGGAAACCGCTATGCAGCGCCTGCCCAGGGTCGCGGAATTCTATCCTGCCAGGAGTATTGATCCTAGTCGCCTTGGGGATTTATCGTGCCAACTGCCTTTAAATGCCCACCCGTTTTATCCTAACAGGTGAGCCTGTTACCATCCACGACTCCAGTGGGATGGAAGGCTCTAACGGCCAAAACCCGAGCCAGCAAGCTTTGACGGAGACACTGGTAGGTACGATTGCGTTTCTCTACACCATTTTAGCCGCCTCCGCTCTTTACTATATACCATTGAGGAGGCAGACTAAGGTCGAGAGACTCTCCTGTTTCCTCCCGACACGATTTTCAAGCTAGATTTCAAATGAAAAGTGAAAAGGCTGGCGCTCACGTGGTTGGTCTACAAACAACGAATCCCTTCAATCGCATCAACTTCCTGATCTTCCCTAATCTCTCATGTCTGCACGATATTGTATGATCACCGTGACTGAACGTATTCCATCTTCTCAGCCATGATAAGTCATTCATTGACCAGGGGGCCCATCCGCCCTGAAAGCTCATCCCTGAGAACATGCAACATGCTTTTTGACATCCTATTCAATTGCCATTGGCACTGCAGTCTCAGTTCCTCTGCCCTCTCACTTTTTGCTACCGGACCCAACCAAAAGTTCTAGCTGTCACACGTAACTAACTTAGTTGGATGGGAGAGGTGCGGGGGGGGTGGTCAACCTAGCCGCGCCTCTGTTTTGTTATGCAGAAAAGGCTCCTCGAGCTTTCAGCCTACGACTCAAGTCGCCGAGAAATAATCTCTCTGCTAAATTAGCGCCAAAAGATATTTGACATTGAATCATTTCTCATAATAGATTGCCTAGAGGACAAGTAGGTACAAAAACAGATGGCCTCCCTTTCTTTTCTGCCCATACGCACCAGAGAAAATTCTCAGATCGTTCTAGAATCTACATGTAATATCGTCTTGATTCAAGAAAAGAGCTTCGAATGCCGACAATGGTTTACACCAACAACGACAGTTTGCCGTTTCTCAAAAGACCATTTCTCTACTTGAGTACTGTATTGCGGGAAACTCGGTCAAATTAATTTCCTTTTTCGAAGGAAGAGATCACTTTTTTTTTACTCAAACACCCTCTCTTGAAGAGAAATTGTCATTCCGAATAAGTATCGATGACTTCAAAACTCTTCTCTATTAGCACTATTCCCTACCATACTAATGCACCCACCAGATTCGTCCACTGTCCCTTCACTCTCTCTCTCTCTCTCTTTCGGAAAAAAGTCACCTTCCGAGGTTAGTAGTACAGTCTGTGATCTGGTAGGAGACATGGTATCAGCAAGTACAACATAAAAATGGGTTCGCTTTATTCCATCCCTTGCCACAATCCTATTGTCGGGAGTATAGCCGCGTAAAAGCCGCACTCTCTATTGAACACCGCGAATGTATTGCACTAGAAAAGTACGTTCCAGTTACATATCGCTAAGCAGTTTGACACAGTTTGGTCTGATGGGGGCATCGAATAATACTCAGCAAAGACAGAAAGTTTAACTTGTGGTGACCTGTATATTCCTATTGCTAAAGTGACTCACTGTACCATTCCAGGTCCTAGCAAATTGAGACCTGTTAATCAGCACGAAGAGTAACAAAAAAACCAACAAAAGTACAAAACGACCCCTCCAAGCCGATAAGCGCCTACAGTTTTATCAATACCAATAGCTTTATCATGAGCAAATCTAATGTCGCCAAGTCAATGGTTTGACCTATGCTCAGCTTTAGGGCCAATCAATGACCGGATAATGATAATGAATGGAAAATATTTGAAAATCATCTAGGACTTTAGAGACTAGAGAGATTAGAAAATTAAAAAAAGTGAAAACTGACGCTTTCGGGCCACATAGTTTCGAGCGCTTGGGCGCGCATGTTTCTGTGGCTCTACCGAGAAGTGCGCTCATGACGCAAAAAAGCGAAACTTAATTGTTCAAAGGGATGACCTTGCCGCCATCTTGTTCCACCATAGAAGCAGCTCTGCAGAAGTGACCCTCACCAATTTGAGAGTTGGGGCAGGAATAAAGCAACTTGGACATGTATTCCAAAAGTTGGTTTGCGTTAGTTCAGAGATTTTAGTATTGAAATGAAAAAATTAAATCAAAGAATTTCAAGTATTGCTCACGTCGTTTTCCAACTTAGTATTGAGTTCGTCTAGAGAAGCTTGTGTGGTGATCATGTACGGTGCTAGGTCTGCGTAGGCGCACTAAAATTAGTTCATATTGACGTGAGCTTATGTATTTAGCGCTGTCAATCTCTTTGAAGTAGAAAGATCTTCAAGGGTGAAGACATACATTTTCCTTCCTCTTAGGGACATTATTGTTCCACCAGTCAGGATGTGTAACACACGTCCTTTCGGTGAACAGGCCATCTACATACATAAGAAGACGAGCATCTGCAATGTGAACTGTCTGGAGAGAATGAAAATTGTGGGGTATAGACACACCTGGTTCGTCAATCGCTTTTGAGAAGAATTCAGCCGCGTCGTCGCCACAGTCGAGACCATCGGTGCGTAGGTTGAAATGGAGCCTAAGCGCAGAAGCTTTTTCTTTTCAACATTTTCACAAAAAGAACTACATAGCGTCCTTGACCTTGGTGACCCCTCAGAGTGTGCAGAAACATACTTGTCTCAGGAAATGGCATGAGATGCAAGTTGCATGAGAAGCAAGTTGATGCCAATAATGGATGAGAAAGGATATTCGTCGCTGATTAATCCCTTTTTGGGATTTGGCATGCATTCCTACACAGTGAGTGGGGGGGGGCGGCTGATGTACAGGACAGTGTTTTTGTCATCCCAGATGAATGTCATACCAATTTACGCACCCGGTGGGTAGGAAAATTGGTTGACCTAGGCGGCACCCTATCCACAACCGTGCTCCTGGTAAGCGTGCCGCTTGTCACTAAACCACTTTCGGCTCATCCACTGATGATAGCCAGTGAAATGGGCTCCCCAAGCACATGAAACATTCAACCAGGGCACAGCACCCGGCACAGTTTGGAAAAACCCAACGAAGGAGTCGTACTTTGGTCGATGGGAGAAGGTCTCATTGAGGTGGGTGGGGTTTGGTCCGTTATATAACCCCTTCCCCTCCACGGCCCCCTCCCCTGGCGCAGCTAAACTCTGTAGAATCTATGTGCTTTTCAAATCAGCTCGTGCTATGTAGTTACTTGTAGAGGACTTTTTTCGTCTCATTCAACGCCAGTTTCCATGGTAAAACTGGGGAATCTTCAAAAAATGGGTATGCAGGTGGGATTCTTGGTAAGGTGTAGGTAGGTTGTGAGACACGGAACGACCGCCATATCACTAAACCCGATCAATTTCATATCTTCATCTGCCCCCTCTCTTTTTCATCTGGATCCATCTGAACACTATTTTCGTCCCTTGAGTACGAAAAATTTAGTAAAAAAAATACATTGTGAAGGGTAAACCGGAAGAGGAAATCCGAGGGCGAGTCGCATCTACT